GAAGGAGTAGACAATGGAAGAGTGAATGCCAGCAGCTGGGAAGGATAGTCCAAAAGAGGGGACTGGGAGAGTTGGTTAACATACATGAATTATAGCTGTATAGGAGGAAAGAGTTCTAGTGTTCAATAACTCTATAGGATGACTATATGTGATAGTAATGTATATTTCAAAATAGCTACAAGAAGGACTTTTAATGTTTCCAACACAATGAAATGTTGCATGTATGAGGTGATGATTATGCTAATTACTCTGATTTTATTATTATACATTATATAACTATTATATATAATAATAGTTAACATGCATGCATAAATTATATACAATAATTATTATACATATGTATCAAAAATTATACTCTATACCATAAATATGTATGTGTTATCAATTAAAACATTAACAATAAAAAATTATAAGAAAAAATAACTAATTATAGGTATCCAATGCTTACATTAGGAAATAAAGTGTCCTTTTCAAACTAGGAAGAAAAAATATGTCATGGACTCAAGGAGTGTGGAACCCATGGTTTTATACTGAGGACAGATACCTGAGTGCTTTTTCCTATTTTCAAAATCTCTTCTAGAAGACTAGGGATGAGTCATGCCCACAAACATTAACATAAACATTTTGGCCCATTTGATAACATGACTGGCATAGTATCCTTGGGATGGTTAAGTCACACCCACAATTATTAACAGAACATTTAACTCATTGATAACAGTACTCTTCCAACATCCTGTCCTTGGGACAGTATCTTGTGACTTAGACAAGCTTTCTTGTCTCTGTCAAAGTACACTCTTTGCTGATGTCTTCCTGAAACACAGACCTTCCTTTACAATCACCAAGCTAAGAATTGTAAAACCCACCTATGGCCTACAATCCTCATATACAACTCTCAAAATCAAATAAAAGGAAGCCCTGTATGATGATCCCAAGAAAAGCCATGTCTGCCTCTTCTCTAGGTCTGGTCACACATATTCATGTTTAGAAATAAACCACTTTGATTATTATTTCTGCAGAGCTGGTTATTTCCATCAGCACTATCAAAGGAATATAGTTCTCCCCCTCATTGAAGAGGGTAATGTCAATTTTATGGAACTATCAAGTGCTGTACCCCACCACAATCAATGCTTTTGAAACTCAAGAAGGACAGTTACAGGAAACTATTCAGTCTTAGGCTTTTACCAAAAAAAATTTCAGAGATTTGTTCCTATAGAGCATGTGCACTCACTGAAGAGACTAAGAGAAAATAAGAAATCATCCCCCCAAGGGGGCTGGCCATGCCACAATCCCTTTTCCATTCTCCTCTTGGTATTTTGGGCGTGCATACACACACACACTGAGTGTGAGTTTCAAGCTGCAAGGTCTGGGACTTGAACCATGGTCAACCATGTGGGAGTCCAACACTTTAACCATGATGCCACCTGTTGGCGTGGACTTTTACAAAAATTTTAACTCAGGGTTGGGATAAGGCAGTGGGAGATTCAACTTCTAGAAAGCAAGAGAATTCATGGGGAAGGGTAATAATGATTAGCTCCACCTGGCTTTTAACTGGTCTCTTGGGGACAAAAAAATCTGCAGGGAAAAAAATCCTCTCTGTGTAAACTAGTGTCCAACAGGGAAATAGTATGCTCAGGGTTTGAATAATAAGAGAAAAGGGTGCCTAATGAGAATGTATAAAAAAGTGTAAATACATCTCTTCCCCTTTGTCCCTTAGGTTTGGAACTATGGTTGATTCTTTTGAAGACCTAAGGCTAGCTAGAGGACCAATGCTTGAATACTTCCTGCTCTCTTGTCTGGGAACAGGGCTTGGGTCTCCATTATCCACCATCCAAGGAGGAATTCACACTTCCATACGGAGACCTTCCTCACAAAGATCTCCTCTGGGTAAGTCTAAGAAACCAGCAGGAAGTTTCATGGAGAAATGGAAAGAGAGAGTATTCACCTAAGGTCACTAGAGCACCCATTCTGCCTAGCCCAGAGATTGCAGTAATTGCTTGTTTGATGAACCAACCAATTAATTAATGTTATTATTAATAATGCTAAAAAGAGTAATGTCTGTTGATCTCAGCAACTCAGGGCTCCTTCTTGACATTTAAGTGGTGATTATAGAAGCCTAACTAGAAGAAGCAATTGTTGGAATAGAGCAGTTTGAGAAGTACAAGATATATTCAAGGACCTTTGCAACTATAGGGAGAAGGGGAATAGGGGACTCCAGGTGGGGGGGCGAGATGCAGATTTAACACAATAAAATGAGGACATTTACTTTTTATTTTTAAGATGAAGCACAATGGGGGCTGGCAGGTTGGGTAGTGGCTAAAGGTGTTGGACCGACCGCAGTCTTGAGTCCCAGACCTGGTAGCTCACTTTCTCACTCTCTCTCTCTCTCTCTCTCTCTCTCTCTCTTTCTCTGCCTTTGATGAGCACACATGCCCCATAGCATATAATAATAAATATATATATTTTTTTAAAGTGCTATGGTAATATACAATAATTAAATGTGAAGAAGAAATTTAAAAATAAAAAGTGAGAAAGATACTTACCTTATCTTCTCTCAGACTTTTCAGAAACCAATAATTTAAAACAATGTGAAATAGGTACAGGAAAAAATGCCTTCTATTGCTTTATATTTTTTAATGGTCCTATTGGGCTATCCTTTGTATAGTTCCTTTTTTAATTACTGGTTTGCTCCCTTTGCTCATTCTTCCTATCAGGGTGTTCAATCTAGATACTAAAAAGACATCATTTTCTTGTCTTTGGGACCAGTTTAGTTTTTGATCTTTTGTCATTTTTGCAGAGTCTCATAGGCATATAACAGGAATTGGAATGTGGTCATTATAAAGGAAGATTTTATTTTCCTCACAGTATCTCAGGAATCATCTGAGCTGATTATATTTTTTTTCCCACCTCAGGTCCATTCAATTCCCTTCTCTGTGCGTATCAAGCAGATTGTATGGGGTGGGGGGAAGTGTTTATATTTCTTTACAAAGAGGGCAGAACATGGCCATTCCAAAATGGAAAGATGCTCTTATACGGACAGTTTGTCTTTCATTCATTATGCTCTCATAGTAATAGCAGAATGAGTGAGAGTAATGGATATGAGAAGAATATGGAATTAACATGGAGTCTCCACCGCACTTCATGTGTATCTGTGCTATGTGTGTAAGTGTGTATGGTGAGCAAGCGTGCATGAGAGAAAGGATGTGTATGTATGTTTGTGGGAGTAAAGGCAATTTTCAGAGTCCAGGAACCTGGGGTTAGTACATTCCAAAAGACTTCCCTGTATATTCTGGTTATCAGTCCCGTATCCGAGGCACAGTTTGCAAATATATTCTCCCATTCTGAGGGTTGTCTCCTCACTTTAGTTATTGTTTCTTTTGCTGTGCAAACCTTTTCAGCTCCCACTTGTCTATTTTGGGAATTAATTGGGAGTCTTGACTTAAAACTCAGAAGCCAAAACTCAATACTATATATCGAAACACAGAAGAGAGTGTAAGGAACAGCAGATGGCATGGTGGTGAAAGCACTAAACTACACTTGGCTAGCCATGATTCAGGTCCCAGACCTAATAGCTTGAATATCTGAAACAGAATCAATCTCAGGGATTTTTCACAGGCCATTTCTACTGCCAGATGCATTCCTAGTTACACTTGCGGTAACACCTAGTTTCAAAAAAATTATTGGAGACAGCAGATGGCATGGTGGTTAAAGCACTAGACTCCCACATGGCCGATTGTGGTTCAAGTCCTGGACCCAGGCTTGAAAATCACACCTGGGTCGTGCGTGTACATGCATGCCCCAAATTCCAAGAGGAGACTGAAGAAGGAATTGTGATGTGGCCATCCACACACACACACACCATGGAGGTGATTTCTCACGTTCCGTCTCTCTCTCTGGCAAGTAAACATGCCCTATAGGAAAATTAAAAATTTAGAAGTGCCATCTATTCTCTCCATTTTACCTTTTTTTTATAATACTTGTCACCACCTGACATAGTATATGGTACTTTTTTATTTGTGTGTATTGTTTCTCCATATTTTATTATAGGGACTTTCATCACTTTGTTCACTCATTGTCTAGACAGTGCCTGGAACATGGAAAACATGTGTGCAAGAGGAGAGTCTGAGGAAGGACATTTAGAAGAAAAATAAGGAAGCAAAGTATTGATGTCACAGGGAGGTGTGGTATTGTCTGTTGAGGATGTGTTGTGGTGTTGTCAACTGTGTTGGGGAGAGATGTTCACCTGTTAAAATATCCACTTTGTAAGACACATAATAATGTAATTGCATGTACAAAAGAAAATGAAATAAAAAATAAATTAATTAATAAAAAAAGAGAAAAGAAACACACTCATTTCTCATTGAAATTTTTGAATAAACTGACCTCTTGCGGAAAGGCTAGGGACAGAAATTCCTGATCACAGCTGGTAGCAGAACCTCCTAAGAGACCAAATTCACACACGAAACAGAGGGGCCAGCAGATGGCATAGATGTTACATCACTGGAATCCCACATGGCCAACCATAATTTGGGTCCTGAACCTAGTGACTTGAAAATCACGCTAGGTGTGTGTGCATGAGTGTACAAGATCCCATAAGAAAAATGAAGAATAGGTTGTGGCATGGCCATCTCCCCTGGGGAGTGATCT